AAACAACAATGATTATATCGGGGTAGAACTTTGGGTGAATAATACGTTTAAAGTATGCCACCTTGTGACCAAAAATTGTCTAAATCGAACCAAAATTGTTCAAGCCTTTAAGTACTAAATATGTGGACCCCAGTGCCTATAGTTGACTTTCTACCGAAAATATCAGTCAACCCACAAAGAAATCTCAAAAGAGTATACCATTTGACTTTGCGAGAGTATAAAATGTTCGGTTACATCCGAATTTAACCTTTCCTTACTTGTTTTTACACAATTTTCGTTCTATGAACAATAACAAATGGGTTCCATGTTGACAGCTAACAAGTGTTGCCATATCTATTATATATGTATATATATATATATATTTATATTTTGAACATTTGACATGAACTATAATTCTGTTCATTCCCTTCTATTGATAAATTATGTTATTGGATTGGCCAGGGTTATTTTTTAGGAAGCGCGGCCGAAGGCCACCAGTGCTGAAAGGAGTTTGATGCGATTGAATTATGAACACCCCGGTGTTGGACCGACCAGGGTATTTTTTGAAGTGCAAATAAGAAATCTAAACAAAAAAATAGTAAAGTTAAAGAGGGTATATCACTCTCTTTAAACTTCAATTTTTATTAAAGATAATTATAATAAAAGTGAAGATTTTGAAAATTTGATATTCCCACAACAGCCGGTTCTGCGATACCGGAATTGACCCGGATTTTATCCGGCCAAGGGCTGTTATTTCGACGATCTAACCCTGTTTGGATCGATAAGTTTTAGATTAAGTTTGTCGTCATTGGAGCAACGCCTAGCAGCAGGGTTGCTCCGTATCCTCCTGACCCGTGCTGGCATCGAGTCCAACCCGGGCCCCGAGGAATTCTACTGCTNTGACCAACCTCCCCCCCCCAACCTTCATCCAGCTCCAATCCTCGTGCTAGAACCACCCAGCAACTCCTGGTTCCTCGCACAGTCTGTTCCGTGTGTCAGACCATAATACGCCGGAATGTCACATCAGTCAAGTGCAATTCTTGTACTGGTGGGGTCACTTTCTGTCGTGTTCTGGCCTGCGCACCACACGAGAGTGGAGTGCGTCGTATGTTGCCCCATGCTGTAGGAGTCTGCCCCCGCAATCACATACAGTGGCGTCGCCAACCAACACCACAGTGCGACAACCGCCCATGCGGATAGCACAGCTGCAAGATCGAGGAGATAGTTGCATTTATGAGCCGGAAGCGCGTAACGATAGCTGTGGTCCAAAAACCAAGTTAAACAGCCACTCAGATCTTCAGAGTTGGGCAGGTTTCAACGTTTTACGTAAGGATCGCGAGCGGGATAATGGTGGAGGCCTAGCCTTCATATTGCACAACACCGTGCAATATCGACTAATCGATGTTGACATCGACCGCAGGGACACCACCCTAGAATGTCAGGGTATAGCTGTCCGGTCAGGCGATGTCGAGCTCGAAATATTTTATATATCCCCCCAGTTACATGTTGCCCAACAGGATATCACCCGAATATAGATGCGCTACATCGTGGTGAAAACCGTCTGGTGCTAGGCGACTTTAACGCGCATCACGATCTTTGGCATTCCTGCCTGTCAAACGATCGTAGGGGGATGGAGCTGGCGGAACAGATAGACGATTCGACATTCTGCACAATGAACGACGAAGCCCCCACCAGAATTATGGGCTGTAATAGCTCGCCAGATATTACCATCGCTAGCGGTGGTCTGATAAATAGTATAACCTGGCGACCTATGCTAACTCTTGCATCAGACCATCTGCCTATAATTATTTCGATCGAGAGACCTCCTGACTTAATTTCTGTGGACAACCGCACCTTTGTTAACTTTAACAAAGCTAACTGGGTCGGCTTCACAGAATTTACCGAGAGCACCTTCAACGCACTACCCATTCCCACGGACGTCATCGTTGGCGAGCATCAATTCCGCAAGGTTATCGCTGCTGCTACAGCTCGCTTCATACCGGCTGGAAGAATAGCGGAACTCCGCCCTAATTTCCCAGCCGAAGCAGCTGTATTAGCAAATGAGCGCGACACCTTACGCCATGCCGATCCCTGTGATCCCCGAATAAGGGATCTCAATTTGGAGATTCGGCAAATGGTAAATCATCATAAGCGGACAAAATGGATAGAGCACCTGAAGTCCTGCAACCTCTACCGGTGTGAGTAAGCTTTGGACTACTGTCAAGGCCCTGTCAAATCCAAGGAAACATGACGATCGGGTTGAAATCCAATTCGATGGCCATGCCTCCTCGGACCCGAAGAAGTGCGCGAGCTACTTTAGCCGGCAGTTTATACTGCACCCTTCGACCGACAAGGCCAAACGATGTGTTACCCGACGGTTGCGCAAAATGCCAAAAGACTGCGCACCACTTAGCTCTTCACCGATGAGGAGGTTCAGAGTGTCATCAAAAAGGCGAAATCGTCTAAATCCATCGGCCCTGACGGAATAAACATGCTGATGTTAAAACATCTAGGCCCAACGGAGTAACTACCTCACCAAGGTCCTCAACCTGTCGATATCCACTCTTCAAATACCCGATGTGTGGAAAGTGCGGAAGAGTGTCCCACTGCTGAAACCTGGGAAACCGCCAACAAAGGGGAGTCTTATCGCCCGATAACTCTCCTTTCCCCAGTAGTGAAGACATTGAGGCCTTGTTACTCCCGTCATTCACCCACCACCTGAGCCTAGCAGACCATCAGCATGGTTTCCGTAAAGTGCACAGTACCACCACAGCACTTAGCGTCATAAACGCCCAGATAGTTCATGGCCTGAACCAGAAGCCACCCTGCGAGAGGACGATCCTCGTAGCGTTGAACTTGTCAAAAGCTTTTGACACAGTCAATCACGCAACGCTACTTGAGGACCTGGAACAATCAACGCTCCCTCCAGGGCTGAAGCGGTGGACCATGAACTACCTGAGCGGTCGACACTCATCCGTACTATTTCGAGGTCAAAACTCCAAACTCAGGAAAATAAACAGGGTGCCGCAGGGCGGTGTCCTCTCCCCGCTACTGTTTAATTTCTACATTTCAAACTCCCCCAGCCACCAGCGGGAATTTGAATGACTCGTACGCAGATGACTGTACGATATTGACGTCGGGCAATGGAATCGATGGCATGTGTTCAAAAGTAAACGGCTACCTCTCCGATCTTTCTCGCTTCTTTTCTGCAAGGAACTTAACACTTTCCCCCACTAAATCCACAGCGACCATCTTCACCACTTGGACGAAGGAGTACAGACTGGACCTGAACATTTCAGTCGATGGCACAAAATTCCGACAGTAAATAACCCTAAAATTTTAGGCGTCACTTTGGACAGTCTGTGCTCTTTCACTCCTCACACGACCGCGATAACTGCCAAAGTACAGAGCCGCAACAAAATCCTCAAGTCGCTTGCCGGCAGCTCATGGGGAAAGGACAAAGAAACGTTGTTGGCAACATACAAGGCAATCGGCCGGCCGGTCCTCAATTATGCAGCCGCAATATGGTCGCCTGGATGCAGTGACACGCAGAATAAGAAGCTTCAGACTTGTCAAACACTGCACTCCGGACTATCACGGGGTGCCTCTTGATGTCCCCAATCGAACACCTACATAGCGAGGCCCGTATGCTTCCGGTTAAGGAACATAATGAGCTCCTCTCCAACAGTTTCTGCTGGGATGTTTTCGCAGAAACCACCCCTGCAGACGCCTGCTTACAGCGGAGCAGCCTCCTAGGAACATCAAGAGGTCTTCCTTGACTACGTCGACGACATCAGACAGCACGTCGACCAGACTTCGGACGCAACTACTTCAGACAAGCACTGACCGCCATCCACAGTGGAGCCATTAACACCTTCACCGACTCCCTTTCAGTGAATGGCGTAATACGAGTCAAAACCACACCATTGCAGAACCAGAGCTCAGTTGCCTCGCGAATCTAGAGTGACCCTCGCGCAACTTCGTTCTGGATACTATAGCAGGTTAAACTCCTACCTATCCAGAATAGACCCTGACATACCAAACACATGTCCTGCATGAATGAGTCTCCGCATGACACTAACCACCTCTTTGCATGCCAACAAACCCCACTCATCTAACACCCTCTCCCTATGGACCGACCGTCGAAACAGCTCGTTTCCTGGGCTTTCCGTTAGATGACCTCGACGACAACGAATCTAGAGTTTATCACCAAAACGGGATTAGATAATCGTTACAACACCAACAACAAAATTTGATATAATAATACATATAGAGTAAAAATATAGCAAATCAGCATCATGACCCATTTGTGAAATTATCAGATGCAATAAAATATACGTTGAAGTCATAAAACCTTTTTATTTTATTAAAATTGGAAAATTTAGTTCAAAATATTTTGTATAGGTAATTGGGTTTTCTATTTATTTTGATTTCTTCATTCGTTTGGATATGGCAACAGTTATTATCTGATAACATGGAACCCATTTTTATTGTTCATATAACGAAATGTGTAAAAATAAAATTCTTATTTTAAGCAATATATTAAATATTTAATATAAAATAAATATGTAGAAACATTGTAGTAAAGTGTTAGTGTATAATATAAAAGAAAGTTAACCATAAATCGAAAAATTGTGAAATAAAATTTCTGAATTTTCAACCTAAAATGCAAATATCTCGAAAACATTAAGTTTCCGGCGGCAATAATAATATAATTTTCGCGAATCTCCTCTATCGAACCATACCCTCTTAACCCTATGCATTAAAATAAAAAATTTTTTGAAGCCTCCTTAGTTGGGGACCTAAAGTATACATTTACCAATAAATATGTAGAAATGTAGTGAAGTGTAACTGTATAAGTGCAAAAGAAAGTAAACTATGAATTGAGAAATTGCTACAATAGCGTAAAACATTCGTACTCACATAATACCAATAATATTAGAAGTGCCTGTCGATGCTTATACGTAGCAGCAATTATAAAATTATTTGAATAATATCATATCTTTGACATAACCACCTACCCCTTTTTCCGGCTTTACATTATTTTCATCAGTTCCCAAATCAGCAAACCTTGGTTTAATATGATTTCCATACTCGATGTTGCTTTTATTTCACTATTTTATATTCGTTGATAACAGATTTAATGTCATTATTTGCATACGGAGGAATGGCTTCCCTATTTATTTGGACTGGACAAAATTGAAAATAATTTTTTAAAATTTTAGATACTGTCACATATTCATACACTTTGAAAAACGCGTCTACTGTTTCTAGATTTTTGCGCTCAGAGAGCAAAATTCATCCATTATAATTGATTTCGCTTGATATCACCAACCATTGTATAAATCTAAATAACCAATCCTAATACCATGTTCGCACCGTCACAAAATTAGTGTTTTCGTAGACAAAAGAGGCTTTCACGCGAAAGTTTTGTTATCATCCATACAAAAACTGTCAAACGAAAACACAGCTTTCGCTGAAACCCCTGAAAACTTACATTCACATCATTATAATCGGTGCCTGCTCTAGTTTAATCGACGCATATTTTACAATAAAGCTAACTCCTAAGCTTGGATAAAATGATCGGAAACTCTTTGATTCGAGAGAGCGCTGTCAAAGTCCACATTTTTATAACATTTGACAGTAGTGCCACTAAGAAAGAAATAAGTTTTGAAATTTTTAATGTATTCTTGGGTATTTTCGATTTCCATTTTACAGAAAAATATACATAATTACAATTAGTTTAACAAGCTAGATATCCTATTCTATCTAATTATATATACATTATATTTTAATCACAAAGATTTTCAAAATAACGTTTAAAACTAAATTTAACAAAATAATTTAATTTTACACTATAAATAAATATCTTTTAATAATTTATTCGGAAGTCAAAGTTTACATAACATTTGCTGGGAATTCTAACCAAATTAAGTATATAAAAGTCAACAAAAAATCTGATATCACAAATTACCCACTGATTTCGCAATTTATTTCTGCGGGATTCTTAGTGGTAGTTCATTGTTTTGCTTGTCATCTGTTCAGTAGCTCATGAACTCGTGGTTTTTTTTGGCAGCACTGAAAGTTCATGAGCTCTCTCATAAGGCAAAGAGAGGAGTTTCGGATCATTTTATCCATGCTCCTAAGTGCGCTTTTACATTGGGACTCAAAAGAGTCTCATTTGTTTCAAATTCTCTTTTGGTGTCGCTCTGTGCATTCACACGAGCAAAAAGAGTCCAGCAACTCGAGTCTAGTTTTTCTGCATTCCTTTTCACAAAATTTTCGTGAATATTTGTGCAGTTCGACTGCGTAACACCTAGAGCGTGTTGTATATTTCATTTGTATGTTAGGATGGTGGTCCCACATTTTGCTTGCAATGAATTAGCATGAATGTGGTAGAACAATATGCATAATAATCCGCTACTAATATTTTCAAGGCCAAATTTATAACAGGAATTTCCTAATCTTTAAGTATTAAAATTTCATAATTTCTTTACTCCATAATCTATATCTTAATTTTCTCCTTATTTACAATTTTTCAAAATATTTCTATTGTTCTATGCATACATATTTGCATATTACATACAAAAAATAGATAACAGAATTAAAATTTGCGAACGAATGCATTTGTAACCGAGCGCTCTTGCAACCATTCAAAGCATTTGAAAGTGAAAAGGAATGCTGAAAGGGGTAGCAGCGAGCTGTTACGAACAAGAACAACAATAAATTGGTTTGAGACTCTTTTGAGTCCCAATATAAAAGCGCACTAACAAAACATAAAGCGGGATATACACTCGCAGACATATCGGTGCTACATGTCAAGTATTGCCTACCGTCGCATCGTGTATAGGCGTGTATGTATACCAAACTCTAAGTCTGCATACAAGTATGAAAAAAATTGAAATTCCTAAATTTTTCTGCTCACTGGTGCGATGGATAGCAAAGTGTATAGTGTGACATGCAGACGATCTCATTCTTGCTTCAATTTTGCTATGGAAAGTTGTCAAGGATGACATGATGCGAGACTCACTCATTTTCGCTGATTTTTTTGTTATTTTCTTTCCCTGATTATTAAGATTAAGGAAATATGAACAACTGATATCAAAAAAGGCGGGATGCCAGAAATAAACCCGCTAAAAATAGCTAACAAAATCAGTGCGAATCAAATTTCAAAGAACGTGCAACTAATTTAATTTCAACCGTTAATCATACAACCATTATATTTTATTATGACTTGTATTGTTTCTTTGTTATACTTTTTTTTTTATTTATGTAAAATTTTTTTATGCTGTATGATGTTTTAAAAATTTTATAATATAAATACACGAATTAAGATATGTATATGCGTTATATAGGCCTATTCGGGTACCGAGCACCTAAATATAATAACGAAATGCAAAATACCCAAAAGTTATTTTTGAAATACCCGATCCTTTTTCTTTCGACAGTGGTATGATTGACAAATGTTATAAAACATGTGGGTTTTGACAGCTCTTTCTCTCTGATCAAAGAGTTTCGCATCATTTCATCCTTGAAGTTGTGTGCGCATAATGGCAGTTACTGAAAACGAACGTTTGCGGAAATTTATTTAAGACTTCATAATTCAAACCAAAGATAAAGAGATGCCCAACTTATCTCTCACTGGAAATGAGAGCGCAATTGCTAAACGTAAAAATCTCCTGAGCTCAGGCAACTGTCAAAGTTCAGGAGGTCTGACGTGTAGCTATTGGAAAAAGGGGATCGGCCAGACTAAAATCCTACAGAAAATATGTGAACAGAGAGATTTGTTGCCTTGTCGAATATCCCTAACAAAAATTGGAAAACAATAAAAATGAAATAAAACGCAAAATTGATATGTATGTGATGAAATCTTTTGTGAGGTCATGCTTCGTAGTATTAATTTTCAATTGAAAATGATAAAAAAAAGGGACCGACTTCGCCTTGTATGTTGCCAACTACTTTCTTATGTGCCTTTCCCCATGAGCTGGCCGGCAAGCGACTTGAGGATTTTGTTGCGGCTCTGTACTTTTGGCAGTTATCGCGGTCCGTGGTGAGGAGTGAAGAGTCAACAGACTGTCCAAAGTGACGCACTAAAATTTTAGGGTTATTTACTGTCGGAATTTTTGTGCATCGACTGAAATGTTTCAGGTCCAAGTCGTTAACTCCTTCGTCCAAGTGGTCGAAGATGGTCGCTGTGGATTTATGGGGGAAAGTGTTAAGTTCCTTGCGAAGAAGGCGAGAAAAATCTTGAGAGGTAGCCGTTACCTTTTTGAACACATCTGCCAGTCCATTCAGAGTTCTATATTGGTTCACATGTAACGTTCTAACAAATCGTATCACAGGTCCTGCTGCGTAACGATAGTGAGAGAGACACCGCGATGGGCTAGGGCGAGTCACCGACACCTGCAGTATCACGAGAGCAGTATTGAATGACGAGGCGAGAGGAGCACCAAGCCCTGTCGGAACCGGTATTAGCTTGGTTCACACTCATCAGGAGATTTTGTACCTTTCTGAAATTATATCTGGTCACATTTCTGCGGACACGACATGTATTTGGGGATAGTACACACGCTCGGCTTATGAAGGCGCGCTGGAAGGGGAGCGGTAAGGGATTATGTTTCCAGGTCTCCATAGCGTTTTGGCGTTTGATTGGACCTCGTACACAAGATAGCCTTAGTCTTGACAAAGTTCAACGCTACGCAAGAGAGACATCCGTTAGACTCGAGGGTGGCTTCTGGTTCAGTGCCATGAACTATTGGGGCGTGTTATCGACGCACACAAGAATGTGAAACTGAGCGGTTGTACGGAGAGAGAGCCGATGCTTGACTGGGTTTGATTCTTGCTAGAGTTGGCCGACCGACGGGGAAGAGAATATGACGGGCAGTGAGGACAGCACTCACGCACGAAGGCTGCTTCAATAACGGAATCGGGGCTCGATAAATGTAATTAGGCATGAATTAGCAGTAATATATCACACGCTGTATGGCGGGTAATCCGCATGGTTACAGGTCAGGCAGCGCATCGCCAAATCTCACCGCATACATTTTTATCAATTCGGGTATCACAGATGTGGAGATAATCGCGAGTAACAAGGATTGAAGGACTCCTCGTTGAAGGACGTGATGTAGCTCCGTGTCACCGTTGGAGATTGATTTTACATACACCAGTTTATGTGTTTAGGACAGTTTAGAACTATATTCTGATTCCGGAATCTATATGATTGAACTATCAGTGCAGTTTGAACTATTGCTCCTATACTCAGTGATTCCAGTAAGTGTGCGCATCTTTTGGCTCATTAATTGGGCGTTCAACCGTTCGTAACACATCGTTTGGCCTGGTCGGTCGAAGGGAGTGCAATGTCATGAAAGAGCAAGGTCTAAACGTACGCTGCGCGCACAGGGTCTCTTTGCGGATCCGACGGGATGGCAAGCACTGCCATCGGACAACTGGATTGTCAACGCGCCGATCTGTCGAGAGAGTAGGTAGTTTGACAAGGTAACGGCCTCTTGCTCAGTATCCAAGCTTTACTGCGCAGTCGGTTAGAGAGTTTGCAGGGACTAGGTGTCTAATCCATTTTGGGTCCGCTAAATGATGATTTTCATTTTGCGAAAAAATCTCCAAATTGAGATCCCTTATGCGGGGATCAAAGGGATCGGCATGGCTAAGTGTCGCGCTCATTTGTAATACAGCTGCCTTCGCTGGAAAATAGGGCGGAGTTCCGCTATTCCTTTCAAGCCGGTAAGAAAGCGAGCTGTTAGCAGCAGCTGATAACCTTGCGGAATTGATGCTCGCCATACGAGAGTCCGTGGGAATGGGTAGTGCGTTGAAGGTGCTCTCGGTAAATTCTGTGAAGCCGAGACCAGTTAGCCTTTGTTAAAGTTAACAAAGGTGCCGGGTTGTCCACAGAATTAAGTCAGAGGTCTCTCGGAATCGAATATAATTATAGGCAGATGGTTCTGATGCAAGAGTTAGCATAGGTCGCCAGGTCTACTGATTAGAGAGATTAATTATCTAACCTAATAATGCCACCGAGAGTAACATTTGCAGACTATTCGGACACACACACCTAGCTCTAACAGTCGCCATAAATCGGATGGTGGCCACGTGTATGTGCAGAGTGAGTCGACTCTGAATCTACCTCGTGATACTGACCGGGTAAAGAGCCCACATCGGCTCCTAACATGAAAGT